GGAGGAAGAGAGAGAGCTCTGTAAAGAGCGACAACTACCATATATGACTTTTGTTTTAAATAATTTTATTTGAGGGTATATTTATTTATTTAATTTTTTATTTTATAAAATAATTATTTCACATGTAGTAAGTGTGTTTGAAACTCCGTTAAACTAGATGAAATCTATTATTTTTGCACTTTATTTAACTTGTAATAGTTGAGGGAGGTGATGTGCAGTCGGTCGCTTTTTTTGGAATGACAATCGGCGCGGATACTTTCATTTTTAGGGAAGATCAAGTGACTTTCCCGTTTTAGAATGCATTAAAGGAGGTAGCATATGGATTGATCTTGTTTGTATACATAAGACTCATCCTCATAACGTTGGTGAAATTACAATAAAATTGAAAAAAAAAAAAATAGTAAAATTTCGTATGAAATAACTTAGATTGAGATACAAATATTTTGTTATTTTTAAAGAGATTCAAGTTTTTCGTGAATTAATGACAAAGCTTAAAACGGTGCAACAGACTTTCTCACTTAACTTGTTTCTTCATAACACAACACCCTAATATTTTTGTCGTACAACTTTAACAATTCCGCATAAGTGGTTAAATTCAAAGATTCACCAATAACATCTTTCTTTAGCCTAAACTCTCAAGTATGTATAAAGTCTTGCAATGTGTTAGATAGTATTCTAAAAAAAATGCACATTTTTTAATATCCTATTTATAGATTCTTAGAACGTTTTAGAGTTCATATATCTAACTCATGCATGTATACATAAAATACAGGTATGTAACTATACATTTATGTTAAGTGTGATACATGTATGTAGTCTATACATTATATATGACAAAGAAGTTCATGTACAAAAATGATGAACAGATACATGTAGCCAATATAGTTTATGTGCATGTATGTATGCAACAAAAGATAATTCATGTATATTATCAAGTTGTATCCAAGTAAATGTGATACATGCATAGGAGAAATGCATGTATGCATTAAGTTTATATTCATGTATGTTGGACACATTTATATAATAAAATATATAATCCTGCTTATATAAAGTATAACAATAATTCAGATCTAAAATCGTTTAGGTTTGATAGTTTATATTACGACTTAAATTTTAATTTTTTCATTAAATAACACAAATTTTTTACATTTAACCTTTTATTCACATGAAAACATGCACAAACAAGACAACATGCACAAACTTTTTTACATTTAACCTTTTATCTCCAACTTTTACCCATCATTTCAACTTACTAACTAGGGAAAAAAAAACCTTTTACCCTCGTCACTACTATTCACAACTCAAATCCTAGATGGAATCACCCCCTGACCCCAATTGGTATTAGGGTCGATAATTGAGCTAAATTACTCAAATTTGATTTGGATTTAGCTCGAATAGGACTTGACTCGGCTTAACTTGTGCTCTAAACGAGCCGAGTTTGAACAATTTTTTAAAATTATTTAAAAAATGAGCCTAAAAGGCTCAAATTTGTAAAGTTCGATTTCTTTATATGTAAGATAATCATGTTATTCGGGTTCGGCTCGAGTTCGACTCATTTTGAACTTAGCTCATTTTTTAAATGCATTGAACTTGAACAATTTTTTTAACTTGTTCAAAATAACGAACTCCATAGACTTTGCTCAAGTTCACAAACTCAGCTCGGTTATTGGCCTTCGTATGCAATTATATATGTAAAGTGTATTCAATGTGTAAAATTACATGAAATTTATAAATTTGAACATTGGATTTGAGATTTGAGATTTGGGTTTGAGGATTCGAGATTTGGAATTTTCGAAGCATGAATTCGGGAATGATTTTCAAAGCTCTGTTTTGGCTCGAATACGGCTCAAAGCTCGAACAAAAATGTAGGCTCAATATTTGAGCTTGAGTCGAAGTTGAATAATTTTTCAGCAATGTAAATTAATCTTGGACATACCGAAACTCAAAAAGTTCGACTTGATTAACGCAATTAACCATAACTAGACTCACTTGGATGGGATCAAAATGTACGTAGATCTATTAACGAATCGGGTTTAAATCGAATTTTGATTGATTCGAATCTAAATTCGAGTTTAAAAGTCCAATTTGAATTTGATTCGTTTATTCGACAAATTTAATTTTCGTGGTTCATATTTGAATTCGTTAATAATCTGAAATTAGATTCGATCAGAATAACTTAATTAATTAAATTTGAACTAAATTTCTTTAAATTATCACTTAGTTTTTTTAATATTTATATTAAAAAAATAATTCGAATCGGATTATATCCAGGTTAGATATAGGTATAATCAAATTTGAATTCGGGATAATACAAGATATTGAATTCGAGTTTGAATTATCAACAAAAAATATTAATTCATATCTAATTAATTAGAATTGAATAAAAATTCGACCTATTTACATATCTAAATGTATGCTTCAAAGATGCAAAATAGATAAATCATTATACATTTAAATATTTACGCAACCAACGTGACCCCATCTACATGCTCCATGTCCAGTCCACCCAACCTCTTAACATTATTCTGCCCCATGTATTTAGTATTATTATTATTATTGGAGAGAATTACACTCATATTTCTTGAGATTTGTCACTTAATTATTCAGACTCCCTAATATTTAAAATATTATACGCAAATCCTCTAAAGTTTATATGCGCATAACACTTAGATCCATGCTGTAAATATATCCATTAATAAATTACTTTCAAACTCCCTAAAGTTTGTAAATATATATTACTTAGATCTCTTAAGTTTAAAATATTATATTTAGATAAAAATACTTCAATTAAATATAAAATATAAAATATTTTAATTTTTACAATTAAAATTCATGTTTTATTGTATCATTTATTAAAATAAAATAAAAAAATAAAAAATCATATTTTTTCTTAAAAAATTGTAATTAATATACAATTATATTGTCTATTGGAATTTAATTTAATCGTTTAAATGACCAAATTAAAATATCAAACTATCTCAATTGAAGCTAAAAGAAATTGTGTTCATTACAATTTGACCCCTTATTTAATTTTTTAATTTTATTTTAATAGATATTATAATTGTATATTAACTAAGCTTTTTTTTAAAAAAAAAATTAGATTTTTATTTTTGATTTTATTTAAATAAATGAAATAATATAACATGAATTTTAGTTGTAAAATTTATGTTCTATTAAGAATAACTTAAACTCCTTGTTTGATTTTTTAGTTTTATTACAATAGATAGTGATAAGGGTGGAATTTTAGGAATGGGCCACCACGGCCTATGAGCCCAATACATCTTAAGAATCCAAAGACGAGGCTTATTGGTCCAAAGAGGTGCCACTGGTTATCCCACGTCAGGAGCAAAAAGGTTAAAAACCCAATGGCCCTAGAGGACCAGTAGTCTAGCCCTGGCCTAATCTAGTACCAACCGAAGGACTACCCGAAAAAGAGGAGTTGAATCTTTGCACTGGAAGCATCTTCCCATGCCACACATCCAAAAAACAAAGGGACCATCTCTAAAACCTATGGCAGATACACCCTACTGGACGCAAAGGATGGTGGCACATAACGATCCAGATATTGTGGGCACAATAACGCCGACTATCGGAGACTTGTGCAGAACAAGGATGGGAGATCTCCACAGGATCAGCAGATTGGTAGAAAGAGCCACCAGGAACCCTATGAAGGAATAATATAAATAAAACAATATAAACCTTCCAAAAGAGATCTTCTTCTCCCAAAAGAGATGCCTCTGCCCTAGATACAGAACAAACAAAACTTAAGCCCTTGTAAAGGCTCAGCGCCAACAATCCCAATATACTCGCTTGATTCTAATACACGACCTTAAGGAGCAAGAAACTCCATTACAGTGGTTGTAGCCTTGGTCTTCCGGCTAAGATGAACCACTTACGTTTTTAGTCATCCGTCATTTACAAATCAACTACGTATCCGATCAAACTCACTAATCCAGGTAATAATTCATTAGTTGGGCTTGAGCTAATATTTCCGAGACACTATTAGATAGTATAATTGTATACTAATTACAATTTTTTAAGAAAAAATTGAATTTTTATTTTTTATTTTATTTCAATAAATGATACAATAGAACATGAATTTTAATTGTAAAATTTAAAATATTTAATATTCTATCTTGGATTAAAGTATTTTTGGTCTAAATATAATATTTTAAACTTAAGGGGTGTAAGTAATAAATGTTTACAAACTTTAAGTGGATATAGGCGTAATTTATTAACAAATATATTTACGGCAAGAGTCGTACAAACTTTAGCGGGTCTAAGTGTGATACTTCAAATGTTAGGGGATCTCAATGATTAAGTGACAAATCTCAGAGGGTGTAAATATAATTCTCTCTTATTATTATTATTATTATTTTCACCTGTAAGTTGAATATCTGGCTTCGTATCTTAGTCAAGGGAATAAAAAGAGAAAAATAAATAAACAAATAAATGCTTCCAGCAAAGTAAAATTTGATTTTGGCATCTGTACCCTACAAATTAATTTAAATTTCAAACGTGAGATGAACTTGTGTGAGATTCAATTAATTAATAATTAAAAAAAGGGAAAGAACCGCTACACCAAATGTCTTGAATCCCTATATATAATTACTATTCAATACATATGATTCATCCATTATACAAATGAAGCGAATTTAGACGAATTCTCATTTTTTTCTGGTCGACTCCATCCTTGTGTGAGAGAGAGAGAGAGACTACAACGGTACAACTGTGTCAATCTCAAAGAATCTCCAAAATCTCAAGCGCAAGTCTGATGCATTAGCTTACTAGGTAGCTGGTTGTTACATCATAAGTTGGTAACTTGATTACTACTCTTTGTTGGCTTCTTATAACCCATTCATCCAGCAATTCACTTCCAAAACCTTCCCACAAAAATCGACTCCATTATATTTAGTTTCTTCTTCACAACCACCCTTCACCTTCTCTTCTACATTTACAAAAGCCTTTGACAAAATCCAACACTTATCTCACCGGTGAAAATGAGCGACCAAACTCCCATTCCCGCTACCGGTACTACTGAAACTGGAGATGCAGATAAAAAGAATAAAGGACGAGAAGACAGCAAGAAAACTCCAGAAGTTTCATTCATTAGGCTCTTTGCATTTGCCGACGTTTACGATTACTTTCTCATGTCTTTCGGATCAATTGGTGCTTGTATACATGGTTGCCTCCATGCCCATATTCTTCATATTCTTTGCTAAGTTGATTAACATCATGGGAATGGCTTTCCTTTTTCCAGCCCAATCTTCTCATAAAGTTGCTAAGGTAATGCAAACTTTTTTATAACCGAGTGTGTGTAAACTTACACCATTTGTAAAAAAAGTGCAATTTTTCAAGTATCCTACCAAAATTACTACAAAATATACAAGAATGACGTTAAAACTAGGGGTGGTAAATCATCTAAGTTACTCCAGTCTCGAATTCGGCTCATTTTGAACTTGACTTGAATTCAGTTACCTTAAAAACAAACCTTATAAAATTGGCTCGTTGTAAAATTTACCTCATTTATATGTACTAGTTGAAGTATTCAGATTCAACTCGAGCTTTTTTGTGAGGGTTCAAAATAAAGAGCGTTGTTATTGTGTCAAAACTTCACTTCAAATGATTTCAAATTCTTATTTAATTGTAAATTTCAGTGCGATACCCAACTTGGACACTACTACATGCAGTCATAACATATTCAAGTTCACGACTTTTTACGTTCAGCTTGTGTTTTGCAGTATTCACTGGATTTTTTGTATCTCAGTATGGTTATACTATTTTTATCATGGATCGGTATGAACTAATTGTTTTGATTAAATTTTAAATTCATTGAGTTCAGTTCAGTTCTATATATATAAATATATATACGCGTATATGTGCAGAGGTTGCTTGTTGGATGCAAACTGGAGAACGACAAGCAGCGAAAATGAGGGTGGCGTATCTGAGATCCGTGTTGAGTCAAGACGTCAGTCAGTTTGACGTCCAAACTTCCACCGGAGAAGTCATTGCTGCAATTACTAGTGGCGTCATTTTTATTCAAGATGCCATTTCCGAGAAGGTAAAGAATGTTTTTCAAATGTTACTCCGAGGTTTAAGGAGAAAAGCCACAGCTTTCTATGTTCACACTATAATGAATCTAGCTGTGGCAAACACAGTTACTTTATTCATAAGTAGAGTGTCGAGCATTGATGACTTTTATTTATAGTACGTCTTGAGTACTATGAGAATCAAGCATCAGATCAGATCAGTATGATTTTTTTTAAAAAATTATAGAAATTAATTGTTATGGAGGTGACCGTGGCGAGGACAGAGACGAAAATGAAAATTTACTTGAGGAACGAGGATAGAAATTAAAATTTTTCCTGCTACCGGAGATGGATGAATATTTTTGAAGTGGATATGGGGTGGAGACTCCTCTCCCAACCCCGCCCCCCGGTCCACTTCTATCCCTAACATTATGTGCAACTGATCTTAATCCTAATCTAAAAACAATAAAAAAAAATGATAGTAATTTTAGACACAAAATAAAATTAGTGGGTTAGACTTATTAAGGGTTTGACACAAACTCAAAAATAATATGGTCCGCCAACATGAAGAAAAAACAAATCAAATTAATGTCAAAAACAAATAGTCCGATTTTTGCTCAACAAACTCCTTTTACAACTACGAAGAAAAAATAAATGTTTTAGATTTCTATTTTTCTATAAAGTATTGTATAAATCGTTATAGAATTATAGGTTTTTTTAAAAAAAATTAATTTTTTTAGCATTTAGATTTAGTGCATTTTTCTTAGTGTGTGGGATCTGTGGATAATTTGTTTCACTCAGAGAGAAGTGGATCTAGGTTTTAATTTCTTCATTTTCACATATTATAATAGATCACCTTGAACACAACAAAGGATAGGCAAGTTGGATTCTGTCATATCTAAATTCGAATCTGATTATAATTTTATGTGATCCGATTATTTGATGGATTTAAAATTTGTAATCTATATTCAAATCTATTAATTTTTAGAAATCTGGTCCAAAAATTTGATCTGATCCATTTATGTAAAAAGTAAAATCAACCAACAAATATCTTATAAATTGTAACAAATTCAAATCTATTCAAAAAAAAAAAATTATAATGCGTACTCATTTGAATTCTTAGAATCCTTAACGAGCAATATAAACTGAATATGTCAAACTTAATTTTAGTTATAAATAGAAAAAAGAAGATAGTAGGGAACAAATGTGGGAAATGAAAAGATATCGGTGGGTATGAATTCACAGAATATAAAATATAAAAATATAAGGTATATATATAATTCGGATCGAATTTGATAAATCCAAATCCAAAATCTATTTAATATAATATAACGGATTCGAATTTGGATTCAGATAACTACTAAGTTTATCCCACCTATATTCACTTCATTAATGACTAAGTTTACCTCATTTATAACAATTCAATTAAACTATTAAATATATATCAAAGAAACCGCAAACAAAAATAATAATTAAAGCAAAATTTCAATGCTCCAAAATTATTTTGAAATATTTCAGGGTGTTTTGAAATATTTTGACATATTTTTATCAATGTCCTCAAAATATTTTGAGTTTTAAGATATTTTGATTAATATTTTATTTTTTGTTTCTAAAATATTTTCATACTGAAATAATTGATCACTGTCTAATAGTAAGTTAGAATAAAATTGAATGTATTTAATTTTTAATTAGTGAATGTAGATGGAGTGAGTTTATTGAATAATGGGATGCCTATAGATAAGATGAATTAAAAGGAATAGGAATTAAGATTTTATCCCCACACCTCTTTGATTGATTTTCTTAGACTCTAACCCAGGACTTCCTTGGGTATGAAGTTTCTCTCTACCTTCTCTATAACTCTCTCTCTCTCTCTCTCTCTCTCTCTCTCTCACACACACACACAGACGCATTGATGTTTACATGTGGGATTGGGTGGGTGATGCAGGTGGGAAACTTCATGCACTGCATTAGCCGGTTTCTTGCAGACTTCGCAATTGGGTTTCTAACAGTGTGGCAAATCAGTCTTGTGACACTGTCTATTGTACCTTTGATTGGCCATTGCTGGTGGTGTCTACGCTTACATTGCAATTGGTCTTCTTGCCAGAGTACTAAAATCCTATGTAAAGGCTGGAGAAATTGCTCAAGAGGTCATCTTTCTCTTTCTCTTTCTCTGTCTCCCCCTCATGAAACTCTCACTAATTCCTGCATTTCCTGAAATAAATGTTTAATGTGAGACACAAGGTAACGAATTGTGCGCATCTAAAAGGAAAAAAGAGAGACCCAATTGAATGGTTGAAAATTGCTGTGGTATATTGTTTGTAAAATCATAATTATTCCAGTATAGAGACATTTGCATTGAATCATGGGGCGTCTTATACATGATGTTAGATACAGGAATGAATCATGGGGCCTCTTATACAAGATGTTAGATACAGAAATGTAGTTAAACTTGATATGGACGGAAAAAAAAAAAAAACTTGTGACAAAGCTTTTGACAAGAAGACTATGCTAATTACGTGACTAACACTTGTCTCCTCCCCTCCCCTCCTCTCTCTTGCTTTTGTGCAATTCTATCTTAGGTGATAGGAAATGTCAGAACAGTCCAAGCATTTGCGGGTGAAGAAAGGGCAGTGAAATCTTATACGGCAGCACTACGAAACTCATACAATTATGGGACGAAAGCAGGGCTAGCCAAGGGCTTAGGATTGGGCACAATGCAATGTGTCCTTTTTTTATCATGGGCATTGCTTGTATGGTTCGCTAGCATTATTGTTCATAAGGGTGTTGCCAATGGAGGAGAGACTTTCAGTACCATGATAAATGTTGTTGTCCCTGGCCTGTAAGTTGCAACACTTTTTAACGTCGTATTTGAAGTTAGCATTTCTGTTCTAGGCAGAAAATTCAGTATAAATCCATGCTTCTAGGTCTCTTACTTCGCATACAGAATACTTGTGCCTCTCTTAGCATGTGATGCCTTTGCATTTTTTGCATTATGTGATGTGAATTTGAGTGCATCCTCTTATTTCTTTTTTTATGTGACGTGGTTTCATTTCAGAGCATGAGATTTAATTGCATTAGGATTTTGCATGACTGATTTGAAACACATGGATGTCCATTTATGCCTATGATAAACTTTATATGCAATTTGAACCAGTGTAGAGTCTGGTGAGAACTTCTTATCAGGTTAATGAATGGTGTGCACTGGATAAAAGCCGGTGTTTCTTGAGAAAATTAGGATACTTCAAGTGGAAAGCCTCTCGTCACAAGAAGAATTTAGTTGGGGCCTGTAAGGCAAATGGAAACTTTGCAACAGAAAAGCTAGCAAATTAATAGTAGAAGTTTCTTTTAGTATTCAGTAAAATTGTTCCTATACTTAAAGAATATATCTTTTTTTGTGATTAACTTGGAATAAACGTAAGTGAAAAGGGATACTCAAATTAAGAGTAGAGTCCCGTATATATATCCAAAAATAATACAAAGTGACTTAAACACCCTTGTAGTTTAGGCAAAATATAAAAATCTTAGTAAGGGTAAAAAAGGGAAAAGAAATCCTAATAAACCTAGACTATCTATACTCCAACACTCCCCCTCAAGCTAGGCGCAAAAATGTCAACTAAGCCAAGCTTGACAACGGAGTCCCGAAGAATAGACAGAGTGACATGTTTGGTAAAAACATCCGCAACTTGATCACTGGTCCCCACAAACGATGGAGTAACAAGACCACTGCTGACCTTCTCCCGAAGAAAGTGAATATCGATCTCTATATGCTTCGTTCTCTCATGTAGTACAGAGTCAGAAGTGAGCTGAATAGCAGATTGATTATCACAATATAATGTGGATGGAGAGGTCACTGAAAAACCCAACTCGTCAAGAATCGATCGTAGCCAGATAATCTCACATGTGCCAAGTGCCAATGCCCGATACTCTGCCTCTGCGGACGAGCAGGAGACAACTGCCTGCTTCTTGCTCTTCCAAGAGATAAGATGAGTCCCTCGAAAAGCACAGAAACCCGTAGTAGATCGACCATCACATGCTCCCCCATAATCTGAATCTGAATAACAGGCTAGAGAACCGGTCTGAGATCCTGATGCATAAAACAACCCAAGTCCAGGACAAGACTTGAGGTACCGAAGAATATGATAAACTGCATCAAGATGAGGCTGACATGGCCTATGCATGAACTGACTAACTCGGCTAACTGCGAATGAAATGTCCGGCCTAGTATTGGCTAAGTAGATAAGTCTACCTACCAATCTTTGATAAACTGTCGGATCTTTCAACTCCTCACCTTCAGCAGTAAGCTTCAGGTTTGGAATCATAGATGATAATGCCGGTTTGCACCCCAACATCCCAGTGTCTGAAAGAAGATCCAAAACATACTTTCTCTGAGAAAGAACAATACCTCTGCTTCTACGGGCAACCTCAATCCCAAGAAAGTATCGCAGAAATTCAAGATCCTTCACATCGAAGGCCTTCCCAAGGTCTATCTTGACCTGCGCAGTCCCAGAAACATCATCATCAGTAATAATAATATCATCAACATATATCAGAAGGATGACACACTGTCCAGAAGTATTCCGTCGAATAAAGCAGGTATGATCAGAATGACACCTGATGAACCCCAATCGTATGACTACATCACTGAAGCGAGAGAACCAGGCTCGTGGCGACTGTTTCAGTCCATAAAGAGACTTACGCAGTCGACATACCTTTCCAGCATACTCCCCCTCACCACGAAAGCCCGGTGGTGCATCCATATAAATAATCTCGTCCAGATCACCGTGAAGAAACGCATTCTTCACATCTAATTGATGAAGAGGCCAAGAGTACTCCGCAGCCAGAGAAATAATTATGGAGACCACAATGTACCGCATAAAACCTCGGTTTAACCGATATGTGTGATCTGAAGTGGATTGCAAGCATCCAAGGTTTCCGTTACAGATATGAGTCCAAATGGCCTGATTGGGAGGATTCCCTGTCACCGTAAAAAAGAAAAAAGAAAAAATGAGTGCTGTAATGTCATTACTATATCTACTCATGATAGAGGTTCAAAGCGAATTTTTCTGTAAGGAGTAATGATAGAGGTTCATTTGTAGGTGAGTGAGAGAGGGATCTAACTATCAGGTGGACAGAAGCAAAGAATTGCAATATCACGTGCCATAGTGAAAAATCCGTCGATACTTTTACTGGATGAATCTACAAGTGCACTTGATGCAGAGTCTGAGAAGAGTGTGCAAGAGGCACTAGATCACGTGATGGTGGGACGAACAACTATAGTTGTGGCCCATCAATACTCGACAATCAGAAATGCAGATGTAATAGCAGTTGTTCAAAGTGGAGAGATAGTGGAAATTGGGAGCCATGAAGAGCTCATGTCAAAACCGAATAGTTCCTATGCATCACTTGTTCAACTTCAAGCAGCATCTTCCTTGAGTTGCCTCCCCTCGCATGGACCTTCCATGGGACGACCTAATAGGTACAAATTTACACTCTGAGATTTAGTGGTTTCCAGATGATACATTAAAATGCTCACCATGGTTTTAAGCAGAATTTTGGGGTCCTATCAACTCCTTTTGGTATTTGTCATTGGGTGATTGCAAGATCATTTGGAGATGATCTTGAGAAGTTGAACCAACATTGCCATTAATATGAGAACAAAACCATGTTCAAAACGTACTAATCTTATCCTTGTATAGCAGAAATTCTCTTCTTCATTTGTATTTTAGCTGACAGCTTTTCAGGAGTGTGTTGGTTGCCTCCATCATATGTGTCTCAATACTTCAAGAACAATTTCACATTTTCTTTCAATACTTGTCCAATGCAATGGATTGGGCTTTTCCTCATGAGTTTTCATATACTTGTGAAAAAACCTAATGGTGCCTCTCATCAAAGACCTCCAAATTCATTGATTGATTTGACGAAGATTCTGTTGATGCGCTCTGACACCTTAGTTTCTTGCTTTTTTAATTTTGTAATAATTTTTTGTAGCATTACATCACGTGAAGGTAGCATCAGATATTCGGGTGACTTCTGCCACAGCACAACAGCAAGCTGTGGTGCAAGTTTTCGTTCCAATAAAGACTCTACCAGTGGAATTGGTGCTGATGGAGCAGAGATTGCTAAGTCACCACCTGTTTCTTGCAGAAGATTGTATTCTATGGTTGGTCCGGACTGGATTTATGGTGTTGTTGGCACTGTTTGTGCACTTTTTGCTGGAGCCCAGATGCCTCTATTTGCTCTTGGGATCAGTCAAGCTCTTGTATCTTATTACAAGGATTGGGACACAACACGCCATGAAGTTCAGAAGACAGCACTCCTCTTCTGTGGGGGTGCTGTTATAACAGTCATTTTTCAAGCTATTGAACATCTCTGTTTTGGAATCATGGGGGAGCAGGTTACGCTTCGAGTGCGAGAAATGATGTTTACGGGTAAACTTTTGACCATATCAACCTTTCTCACTTGTACTATAAACGTTTTTTTATGGATAAATTCAAGTATGAATGCAATTAAAAGGGTGTTTGGTTATGAGTCTTATGTCATACGTACTGTTTTTCTATAGAATAGGGAAATGGATATTGTTTTGTTGCAAAAGACAACCAGTTCAAAGAATATGAAAGAGTGATGGAGTTTTATATGTATACACACATGCAGTGTTAAACTAATAAATAAATATAAGTATGTACATGTATATATTTATATTATTTTTAGGTAAGTTATGTGAATATATTTGCAGTGATGTACTTATTTATTTGATCTGAAATTTATTCTTCTATAATGACCTTGCCTAGATGATGAATTAATTCCACTAGATGGTAACCAAAAGAAAATACTAATGGGTGTCCAAGCAAACTCAAACATATTAAAAGTGACTTTGTTCCTGAATCTTGAAGGATGTTTTGCCTCAAGTTCCCTCTTGTATTTGACTGCAGCCATTTTGGGAAATGAAATTGGGTGGTTTGATGACACAAACACCACAAGTTCTATGCTGGCATCTCGTTTAGAGAGTGATGCAACTTTACTGCGAACTGTAGTCGTTGATCGCTCTACAATTCTTATACAAAATGTGGGTTTGGTTGTCACTTCATTCATCGTCTCCTTCATCTTGAATTGGAGGCTAACGCTTGTTGTCATGGCCACATATCCATTGCTCATAAGCGGTCACATCAGCGAGGTTTCATCTCCTTATCCTTTCCAATTGCAGTAAAAGGGGGTGTTCGACTTCATCTCATTAATTGTTCTTCCCAATGTTTTAGAAACTCTACATGAAAGGTTGTGGGGCTAACTTGAGCAAAACTTATCTCCAAGCTAACATGCTTGCTGGTGAGGCAGTAAGTAACATCCGTACTGTTGCTGCATTCTGTTCTGAAGAGAAGGTGATTGGCCTTTATGCTTGTGAGCTTGTTGAGCCTTCAAGGCATGCATTTATTCGCGGTCAGACTGCTGGTATATTTTATGGAGTCTCTCAGTTCTTCATCTACTCATCCTATGGCCTTGCGTTATGGTAAGTGCGTTTTGCTTCGTCTTCTAAATCTTTGCTGTGCGAAATTTTAGGCAGTGAACAGTTAATTCTCTTAAAATATGTGGCAAGGATACCAAATGGGCATAAGTTTTGGATATGAGTATTTGGGGTCTGAAGTTATGAGCTCTAGCAATCAAGTTGCCACAGAAGTTGGTGTAAGAGTGCCCAAGACTTTGTAGATGCTGAAATTGGAGTCTGTTGGCCAAATTAGCTTATTGTTTAAAACTAAGATACCTATTCCTATTAAACATGCGCACTCCAATATGTTTAAACTTGTGTAGGTATGGCTCTGTTTTGATTGGAAATGGGATTTCTAGCTTCAATTCTGTCATAAAATCATTTATCGTTTTGATTGTAACGGCTCGTCATGGGAGAGATACCTGCAATGGCCCCAGACATTCTTAAAGGGAATCAAATGGTGGCTTCAGTCTTTGAGGTGGTGGACCGTAAAACAGAGGTGGTGGGTGATGTTGGAGATGAGCTAACTGGGATGGAGGGAACAATCGAGCTAAAGGGTGTCGAGTTTAGCTACCCTTCAAGGCCAGATGTTCTGATTTTCAAGGAATTCAATCTCAGCGTGCGTCCAGGCAAAAGCATGGCACTAGTGGGGCAAAGTGGGTCTGGCAAAAGCTCTGTGCTCGCTCTTATACTTCGGTTTTATGATCCAACTGCTGGGAAACTAATGATTGACGGTGAGTGTCTAGGTGACTGTGTGATTGACTGATTAATTAATTTATTATTAATAGGCAAAATGCAAAGTAAAAGGAATGATATCAGAATAGTTCATTCAAGAATTTAACTTTTTATTATCTTTGAATTGCATTGAATTTCCACAGGTAAAGACATCAAGAAACTGAAGCTCAAGTCTCTAAGAAAACACATTGGCTTAGTCCAACAAGAACCAGCTCTCTTTGCCACATCCATCTATGAAAACATTCTTTATGGTAGAGAGGGAGCCTCAGAAGGAGAAATAATTGAAGCAGCTAAGCTTGCTAATGCACATGATTTCATTAGTGCTCTTCCTGAGGGCTACTCAACAAAAGTAGGTGAGCGAGGAGTGCAACTTTCCGGTGGTCAGAAACAAAGAGTAGCCATTGCCCGAGCTGTTCTAAAGAACCCCACAATCTTGCTATTGGATGAAGCTCCTAGTGCTCTAGATGTAGAATCGGAGCGTGAAGTGCAACGAGCTTTGGACATGTTAATGAAAAACAGGACGACAGTCATGGTGGCACATCGACTATCCACCATAAAAGATGCTGACCAAATATCAGTTTTACAGGAAGGGGTGATAGTAGAGCAAGGGACTCACTCTACTCTCATAGAGAACAAGGATGGAGTGTATTTCAAGTTAATCAACCTACAGCAACATCAACAACAACATCAGCATAACTAAACACACCAACAAAAATATTTAAAGGTGCTTTGTTCTATAATGTTATCCTGTTAACAACTTCAATTTCTTGCATATCCCATTATTGACGCAATTTATAGAATTATTATATGATTCTTTCAATCTGAAAATAATAATTGTACATGTTCCAAAATGTTTTACAGTAGTAGAAAGCCATTTTATTTTAGTTCAATGGTTAGGAATGTCCGAACCAGTTTACGCTATTTTACATACCATTTGTGCTTCCTATACTCCCTATATGATCTTTGTTGGTCTTTGAGAACATAGAGGGAAAGGAAAAATATTGCAAACATTTTTTAAGAAAAAGCTTTGGAAAAATGTACTCTCTTGTTTTGCGAAAATGGTGAACACAAGTTCAATTTGCGAAATATGTAACATAACGACTACAAAAATTACTTTAGAATGAATCCCTCAAAAGGATTCAAAATCTACTCTAGTACGCTTTCTTTCATAAAAAAATCACTCAAGGAGGACCCACTTATGTATTGAGTCCAAACTTCAATTCATGATAGGTCGACGTGAGAGTGTATTAGAGTGGATCTCTTTCTCTCAAAACTTACTACAGTTCATGCTTGTTCTTCTATATCCATTTTTTGTGTATTGCTGCCAATGGGTCGGGTCGGGTCGGGTTGAAGCTGTGCCATCCTAACATTTAATCGACCCATATTTTGCCGGTGCTTTCGATGCCATCTACTTGCAACAGTTTGTACAAGATTGTAACCAAAAAGGTGGTTGTAATAACCTCATCCGATAGTTCTCAACAAAGCTACATCCAGTCATATATGTATCAATCTGTACCAATTTTAATTAGATCATGGGTCATTTTGGTGTGTGGTACCGATACGCGTACATGGTACGATACTTTTTTTAGGTACACGGTACAATGGGATAAACTTAATTAGTACAGTATTTTGAATTGCAATTTGTTTTAAAACTCTTATTTAGATCGTTTTCACTATTATATAACATTAAATATCATAAAACATTCATAAACACTAAGTCAGCTACCATTTTACCTAACATTTGTGCTCGTTTTTTTATTATCTAAAATAATATGTAATATTATATATATATATACATAATAAAACAGGAGTGTGTTTAAATTTTGTCTCAGTCATATTTTCCCTCTCAAAACCATTATCAATCACTTACCTCACCCATCATTTATTTTGTCCTATTCAAACGTCAAATCACATCACTTATTTATATCATATGTTTAATCATTTATATATTTCTTCCCTAAAAATATCACATCACTCATTTTTATCATATATTAAATTATTTAATATTTGATTAATTTGTAGTTAATATATTTTGAAAAAAATTAATATAATGGGATCTATTTTTTGGACACTCGAATTTTATATTTTATCGTGCCTTCAGACACGGTTATGACTAGTGTGTGTGTGTATATATATATGTTGTTAATGAATAGGTATTTTATATTTGTGTTACATATTTCAAAGTAAATTGATTTAAGATTAATATTATAAATTAAAGTCATACATTTTGATGATTTGAATCACGAACCCATCTTATTTGAGATCGATGTATCCAAATTGTGGAACTTCAAGAATTTAGTAAATTCTAGTACCTATAATCTATACAATCAGCATTACGCTCATTCAAAGCAAAATTGAAGTTCAAACCAATAATCTTATATGGCATCAAAATGCTTTGAAACCATGCAACACAAAAAACCACAAACCTGTACATTGAGAAATCTGTAAGCAAACCGCAATTAGATCAATAAATGGAATCATTTGACAGAAAAATCAAAGCACTTGTTAATAACTTTTACTTTTTGACCTCCATGAACCCGGTCAGGGGCGACTCAAGTCATGAAGCTTATATCACTTCAGAACATCTCAGAAGCAGCCAAAGAAAAATACAGCAAAATTGGATGCTCGATGTCATCTCAATAAACTCCGGCATATAATAAGTAAAAATCCCTTTCTTTTCTCGTTTTCGCATAACATTCCGAAAGGGAAAATACGCATACAAGAACTTAGATCAAAGTTTGCTTACATTCAACTTCCATGGACCATGGTAGAGACAGAACCTCACCCATCTACCATGTGCTTACCAGAAATCACAGATATCCATTAATTCTACAAGATAAATCAGTTCAAGTAACTTAATTCTAGAAAAAAAATACAATACAATAAGTTAACACGAAACAAATGAAGAAAAAGAAAAAGGAATTATCATTGACAAAATGCAAAATTCATTGATTCAAGTTGCCAAAGGCATACACAAACAGTTTCGATGCCTTGAAATGCATATGCCTTGGAGAACAACTTAAACTTCCTAAAAATTCAAAAAGTACCTATCTGCAAAGCAAGTACTCTATCTCCAAACCAAAAAGATTGGAATATACATGATCAACAAGGAACACCATCTAATAGGCCTTCAGGAGGCAGAAACCAAAGCTAATAACCTACTTTCTCACCACTGTTCTAAACTCCCTATCTTAAAGAGATGCTCTTGCAGCCCACTTCAACCCAGAGAAGGATCACCACCCTGAAGCACCGAACTCTCAGCCAATTAACTCAACAGGCTACACATCCCTAAAATTGAATAGGGTTCTCTTTTTCTTCCCTGTTAAGAGGCGAAACAGGAAGCCCCACATCATCCTCACCACACCCATTATTTGCCACCAACTTCCTCACTTCTTTCTCACAACTATCCAGATTTCTACTTTCTGAACCCTTCTCTTTCTTATTCAAAACATCCCAGAAAAAGTCTGTTAACACGCTTTCATAACCAGGCATCTTCGCATACCCGGGGAAATAGTTAATGTCAATCACAAGGTACTTATTCCCAACACTAGTGTCCCTAATCACATCAAAATTGAAGAACTGCAATTTCATTGCCTCTCTCAACCCCTTCGCAATGTCAACGATAAAACTTATGGGGGGCATTTCCGCATCCTCCAAATTTTTCATCATTTTATAGTACTTATCATCCATTTTCTCAATACAATTCAAATTAGAAATCTGTGAAAAGGAGAGAGAATCCTCCAAAATCCCCAATTTCTCTTGGGTCACGTCCGGTAACGACTTTCTCTTCACACATTTCACATATTCCCCCACAACATACACCTTGAAAATCACACCACCGTGGTTCACAAATTCCTGCAAGACAATCGGCGGTTTCAGCTTATTCAACCCATCATTGTTGAACACCAACGACATTTTATGCGATTTGGCGCTCCCATCAGCCACCAACGGTTTCGCTATCACCGGAAACTTCAACCCCTCCCTCTCAATCTCCAATTCCGCCACCGTTTTGGCATCGTATATCACAATCTGCCGCGGAATCCCAAACGACGCCGTCTTGTTCTCAATCTCCAACCCCTTCACTACCTCAAGCATCGAAATTCGATTATGCAATCTCTCAATTGCCTCGGGAGGATCAATAATCAGGACATTAGGGTCTTTGGCAGAGTAGTCTTCTAACTGATTCTTCCAATCCTTTCCGTACAATTTGTGAATAACACAATCGAACGGTCCTTGATCGATTAAGGGTTTGCTGGTATCTATCTTAATGAGATCGATTCCTTTCTCTTTCCC